AATGCGGAGGTCCTTTTACATTTTTTTCAAAACATACTTATGAGGTTAAAGTAGGAATGATGAATTATATGATGACAAGCAGCCTGCGTTTTTTAAATGTTAATATTCGGAATCCGAATTTCAGGCGATTATGAAAAAAAATATTTGAGCACAATTACCCATTATGATTTATTAAGAATCACTTTAACCTATTTTCAATTAAGATGGAAGGAAGCATCTATCCGGAGCAATATAGGCAGCTGTAAGAATACTAGGGTTCTGATGTTACCTTATTATTGGCTTGGAAATGTAGGTGAATTACTAAGTGGGACATCATAATAAGATATAAGGAGAAAATAACATTTTTATCCGTAATGCCTGGCATCCTATCCATTACAGTTCTTGATTGTCAATAATTAAGGCATTGCTAATATCTTGCAATTATATCAGAGATACATTTCATATTAACTATTATTCTAAAAGCGCATTAGCCCATTAGGTTAAACTAAACATTTTATTTAAAATTATTATCACAAAAAAATTAATGACTTAGTTGATAGCTATGTTTCTTTTTTCACACACGATTTTTCACACTTAGAACCCTGCGTCCTCCATGGGCATAAAAATGTTTAATATTATCTAAGGGCGTAGTTAAAACAGTCTTTCTCCAAAAAATTTAACTTTTGTACGGTTTCTTAGCTATCTGGTTGCAGCCTGGATCCATTAACCTATCTCCAACTATTCTTGTTTTGCGATTTAAGCTTGCCTTTTTAGTGTCTTTGTAGAGCGTTGTTGAAAAAAATTTGTGCTTTTTTAGTGGCCCATGATTATTCTTTGTGAGATGAATATCACCCTATCGAATTAGTTACATAAGTTCAAGGCTGTAAATATGCACCGTAACCTATCCAGCGATTTTCTTCGTATTCCTTCACTATCCATGTACCAGTAACTTTGAGGGATTGGAAATATCATTTTCTTCTAAGATAGGATCTTCGTGAAAATGTTTATCTTATTTTTTATTGTTAGTATCTATATTATTATATATAGCTTCTTTATTTTTATGGAGGGACAAATAATGTGGAATGTTATACCCTCTTCTGTTATTATTGTCCCAAGTATTCCTGTTGCGCTTTATGAATTGTTAAGCGTAATTTTTATGCAACTGAGCATAAGGCTGGCCCATTAAGATTTAAGAATTTTTAAGTTTAAGAGAGATTGCTTTGTGTGTTTTACCTTTTGGGGTTCCTCACGTAAGGTAAAACGTAAGATGACTGTTGGATATTAGCTGAAAATGGATACTGCAGGAATGTAGATCTGACTGACCTCACCATTGAGTTTAAAAACATTGATATATAACATTAAGTTTTATAATGGAGGTTCCGGATACATTTAGGCTGTTTGTTTGGTCTTAACTTAACAATGCTCAAGAATAATCACAATTTGGCCGGTCAAGGTGACAGAATCTCTTTATTTGCTTGTATTTTCCATAGCCTCCTAACATATGCATTAAGCAAGTGTTTAAGTGTTTTAGCCTTAACTTGTCATGACAGGACTGCCACTAACTAAAGTTTGATTCTATCTAGTAGCACTGATAAGCCAAATAGTTATTGGTTGTTTTATTGATCTGAGCTCATATGTTTCATTGCAGGTACGATTTGCGTTGATAATACATTTTTATGAAGGATTTTTCCTCTTTCGTTACAGTCATGTACTTTTCG